CGCACAGGAGCATCTTCACATAATAAAAGGATTGTAGGTATTTTTTCTCTAAACTGTAAATGAAAGGATTGAAATACTTTAGTTATAAGATTGCTTTAAAGGGGCCAATCATTTTTTTTATATTTGATTTTAAGGTTCATTTGACTAGAATAATTAGTTCTGTTTGCTAGCTTCTGACCGCAACCAGAAATTATTAATGCAGTAAGTTATCTGTCCAAAAGTATCTTCAGTGTAATAAAGCTTTTGGCCCTGATTTTAGTGTCACTGGGACGGCTCAGATTCTTAAACTTAATTATGCACTTGCATGCTTTGCAGGTTCGGCATCTGATTGTAGGATCAAACCCATACATACTGCATAACCAGTGGGTCAGATCTGCAACTGGTATAAACTGGAAGAGCACCATTGACTTGAAATCAATGGAGCTGTACCAGATTACACCAGCTCAGGATTTGGCCCAGGGTTTGCATTTATTTAGATTCTGAAAGAGCTTGGTTGGAAAAAAACAAAACTTTCCCCTGAAAAAAATTACAAGAAAAATTCTCTTCAAAATGTTTTTGACCACAGAGTGTTGGGGTTTTCATGGGAATTTTCAAAACAGTATTTCAAAACAAAAATGTTTTAATTTTGACTTAAAATGTCAAACTGGGTTCAGCAAACAAACAAACAAATGGTAAACCAAAAAGAAAAAGAAAAAAAAATTGCTGAAAGATTGGGTCCTGGGGATAATAACGGGTCCATTTCAAATCCTTTCAAGAGGAAACAACTTTAAAATTTAAAAAAAAAAAGGTGTTTTTAAAATTAGCCAGCTTTATTAATAATCCATTTAGTAACTTCAGAATACACAGAGAAGCAACATTAGGAAAGTATTTAATGTATTCTTAGCTTCTAATATAATTTAACAGCTGAAAACAAGGGGAGCCATCACTACATGAGAAGACAGTTCCATGTGGACCGCCAGTGTACAGGCACCAGACCCTAGTCTGGGAATTATTGTTCAGGTGCTTGCTACTAATTGGCCGTTAGAAGCCGGAAGGAGTTTTCTAGAGAGAAAGTTGGTACCGAATCTTTGGCTGTCTGCTTTAACCCATCACTTGCTGAACCACTCTGACACAACAGTAGATATCTGCACAGCCAGTAGAGACTCCCAGTGACGATCAGAAAGGAGAATTTTTCCTGTTTTCATATAAATATAAAATACCTCTGGTATAAATGACAGAATATGACAAGTAGTCATTTATAACACTCATAAAAGCCTTGTTACTTCTGCTGTTTAAAAATACCAAAACATTTGAAAAGTGTGTATTTCAGCCAATTTTATTGACTTTGCCCCTAATCCAGGAGTTTTCAATCTTTTTTCATTTGTGGACTCCAGAAATTTTGAATGGAGGTGTGGAGCTCTTTGGAAATCTTAGACATAGTCTGCGGATCCCCAGGAGTCCACGGACCATAGTTTAAAAATCATTGTTTTATGATAACAACAACCTTTTGCCGACTCCTTAGACATAGTCTATGGACCCCCAGGGGTCTGCGGACCACTGATTGAAAACCACTGCTCTAGTCGTACAGAGATTTGTTTGTATTGATTTAGTCTAAGGCTACGAATGGCTCCCGAAAAGCTATTTTGGTCTGGCAGGTATTTTATTTAATATGCTTCCTGTTTCAAAACCTTGGCTAAATTTGGATTTGCTTATGTGCAAGAATGGCCCACAAGGAGATTGATGAAATACATAAGGAAAGAAATTAAATATAATTTCACCCCCAAATGTAAGTAACATTCAAGTTATGACAGACTGAGAGACCCAAGACAAAAGTGCTTTTAAAAACTATCTTCTAATTTGATTTTGTAGCCACTCGAAGGGTGGGTTTTTTAATTTAACTCACTGGGAATTCTGCTTTGAGTGGCTGTGAGTTGGTCTTTGAATTTAGAACAGAATGCCAGCCTGAATGTTAAAGGATGGTTATACACTCACTGAAAAGTCACTGTGTAAAAATGGCACATTTGAACTTATGAGATAGTTCCCCATATGTATTCAGAGTCACAATCTGCCAACTTTTGGAACTACAATAAGTTTGGGCGGGGAGATTTTTTTTTTCACTTCTGTTTAGCTGTGCAACACCAACACCATTAAGAGCAAGTGATGTGGATTCGAGTCTGGCTCTGGCATCATAAACAGAATTGTTAAAGGGATACAGTCACCCGGGAAACCACATCTCCATGTGGTATGTTGTACTTGCTATCGTTACAAGAAACGCCTGGGATTACTACAATGGAAAGATGCAAGAAAAAATATTTGTCGTCTTTTCAGTTTGATCGCTGTGTTCATTTGACATCCACTTTGGCTATGTCTTCATAGCAAAAGCTGTGCATGGGCTCGCCTACCCAAGCTAGCTTGAATCTAGCCAGCATGGGTAACAACTGCAGTGAAGACAGTGTGCTGTAGCCTTCAGAGTAGGCTAGCAAGCCAAGTATGTACCCAGCGTCTGTGCTGGGCTTATACTACCCACAATGAAGCCCAGGCTGTGCAGTCTTCACTGCCTTTGTCACCCACACTAGCTAGATTCAAGCTCGCTCAGGTAGGCGAGCCCATGCACCGTGTTTGCTGTGTAGACAAAGCCAAAGTGTATAATCAACTTCACCATTTAGTTGATAGTAGAACTTCCTGTCACATGAACTGGAAAGATGACATCCCTCTTCTTCAGTGCTTTGGGCGTGCATGTTTGACCAGAATCCCACGGGAGCCAGCTGAGGTCACTCAATTAGGGTGAACTACAAAGAATGGGGCAGGCAATCCCCAAAGCTGATGGATATTCCAATACTTAGATTTACCAAGCTACCACAAAATAGCTTTTATTATACCTCACTGGTTACACACTAGTCAACAACACAGTTCCCTTAAAGTAACTCAGCTTCAGGCCTCCACCTAGATATCCAAGTCAAATATGATGAGGATTAATGAAAATCTTATTCATCATATGAAAAAGGTTCTACCAATCCCAAAGGATCGGACACATTACTTCCCAGGTCAATGAATATTCCAGGTCTTACCCAACTACACGCTTACAGCCAATTCTTATTAACTAAACTAACATTTCTTAAAAAAGAAAAGGGAGTGAGAATTGGTTAAAAGTTCAGTATACATACAGGTATGAGTCAATTTTGAGATTCAGATTCATAGCAGAGATGGAGAGCTTTGTAGATGCAAAGAGTTCTTTCAGAAATAGTTCATAGGTTATAGTCCAATGTTTATATTCAGGGTGGTCCAGTCAGAACTAGGATCTCTGTCCTTATGGCTTAGGCTTCCCTGGCATGAAATATCAAGCAGACCTGAGATAAAAAGGATTGGAACTCAAAGGTCTTTTATACAATTCCAGGCCTTCTTTGACAGTTTGGAGTCCTTAGTCGAACAATAGGCACGCATGGGGCCTTTAAGTGGACCCATTTCCTAAGCATCACAGGTAATTATCCACACAGATTAACACAAGGCAATTGCCTGTTTTTCCACCATTCGCAGATGATTTGCTATACATTTCAAAGAGAGATGATGCAGCGATAGCCAATGTTTACAGTTCATTTAAAATGTTAAGATATTCTTTTGATCTCTGAATTAACAGAATACAGTATAGACAGGGACTGTTTGATTACATTGTTGATTTCTACCACTATATTTGTAAATACACAAAAACACAAACATTATCTCCCCATATGTTTTTAAGGGTTGAATTTGAGTAATTTATCCTGCAGAAGTCTTAACCCTCTTGGTCATGCATCACAGTTTGCTTCCCCCATGGCCCAGAAAGAGGATATCCACTGGTAACAGCAGCAGCAAAATGGAAGCAGAAGAGGCAGCAGTCAGGCCTATGTGAAGGAATGGGAGAGGAAGGGGAGCAAAGGTCGGCTTGAGCACATTTGGTGTTGCTCCTGCTTTGCCCAAATGACCTTTCTAAACATTAGCAGATGAACTGGAAAATTCCTTACCTGCTTTAAAAAAAAATCTTTAAAAGATTACATATTATTTAACGCGTGGTTCATCAGAAACATAAAGAAAATCCATTTAAAAGAAAATGAATCTCGCCATGTTCCTTTAACCATGTTTTGAGTGTGCAATCCTTATTGTTAAGGAAGGTAGCACCTGGAAAGAAACCAGCTTGACTTTCAGAATCCGGCTGAGTTTGAATTAGGTGGGGGAAAAAACATTTTTTTACTTGTAAATGAACAGATTTTGTTTGGATCCACTGAAAGAAGCACACATGGGCTGTCCTGTTTGATGCCATTTCTACAGTGAGTTTTCAGAATAGAACTAAACTTCAAAAAATGTTTTTGAAGTCTTTCCAGTTTGCCTGATCCTTAACATATGTGTGTATATTTCATTATAATCATCATAGAGAAGAGAAAAGGGAATTTTCTTTGTTTATTCCTTCTGTACTTCCTACAAAAACTTTATAGACTGGAATATCTTTCTGGAAGTCTTCCTATAGTCTAACACAAGTTATTGGAGTAACTGGATGAAATTCTCTGGCTTGTGTTAGAGAGGAAGCCAGAATAGATGATAGTTTGGTCCCTTCTGGTCATAAAATCGTTGAAACTATGAATAGCCCTTCTAGATTTAGAAACATATTATGGTCAATGGCAAATCTCCTATGGGGTTCGCTGAAACTAAGATTTTGCCCTTACTTCTTACTTACGCATTGCTTTGTAATATTTCTTACATTTCTGCCTTTTAAAGCCTTTTGCTTGTTCTCTGGTAAGTACCACAACGTTGTCTCCTTTGGTCACGCATATTATACTGCTGAGATTACTATGGAGAATATTTGTCGCTACCTGTCACTGCTGTTGCTATTAAGGCAACTTGTAACATTTTCCTCTATGACATAATACAGAGATTAAAACAGGACTTTTATTGCAGTTAGGTATATCTTTGTCTACAACTTTTGTTCCCCACTTTGCTTCTGTGTCTCTGATCATTATATATAATATACATATTTTTTTTCTTTTTTGCAGTGTGCGCTGGTACTGAGAACAAGCTGAGTTCTCTGTCTGATCTTGAGCAGCAGTATCGTGCATTGCGCAAGTACTATGAGAACTGTGAGGTAGTCATGGGCAACCTGGAAATCACCAACATTGAACACAACCGTGATCTTTCCTTCCTCCGGGTAAGTAATCTCTTTTCCCACCTTACCCATTGTCTGAGCAGGTATTGGTGTTCGACTGCACACTAACAGAGTGTCTTGTTCATACGTGGCGAACTCCATGTGCAATACTTGTGTAACATTTATCCCTTACTAACATGTTCAGTAACACCCTTCCATTTACAGCAGTGGCTAGGGTGACCAGATGTCCCAATTTTATAGGGACAGTCCTGATATTTGGGGCTTTGTCTTAAATAGGTGCCTATTACCCTGCACTCCCGTCCCGGTTTTTCACACTTGCCATCTGATCACCCTGGCTGTGGCATTACAATGTGTGGAGTCTCCAGGTGCTAGAGGATGTCAGTGGTGGATCAAGTGGTGCATATGAGCTAGTGCAGTTCTGTCATTCTGAGACTGCAGTCAGCCTGAGAGTAGTAATCAAGAGAGATGGGGAGGATGAAAGCCAAATTAAGAGTCGCTAAACGTCACTGTTGTTTATTCTTTGACAGTTGACTGTTTTAGAAGAAACATCCAGCTAAGACATCATCCAGTGTATTCTGCTCGTTTGAGAGTGTGTTCCACTGGATTAAGGCCACGGGGGGGGGGGGGGCGGGAAGAGATATGCAGGTGTAGGAATGACTGTCAGGTGAAGGGAGAAGAAATGTCAGTATGATTGTGGCCCAAATGGGCCATAACATGATATAGCTAGTCAATATGGATGAGGTCAAACCATGATACAAATAGAGTAAAGTACCATCTTATATGGCTTGTTATGATTATGTACAACTCTCATAAAACCCCCCTGTGTTTCTAAATGTGTGTGTCTGTGTGTAGATAACACTTGTAGGAGATGCGGAGACCAAGGGAAGAGGACAGTCAAAACCTCAATCAAGGGGAAGGAATGGGATGGCAGATGCCCACCCTAAATGTTTTTCTTTGCATTGTTGGCCTGGGAAAGATCAGGGATAGGCAAAATGTTTGCTTTAGAGCTGTCTCATTTTGTTTTGCAGGGTCTTATGTGAACCTTTTGTTTAATATTAGTTCACAAAGATTTAACTTACTACTGTTGGTTCTAACAAAGCTGAAGCACAAACCAAACCTTAGTCCGATTGGCATGTTTCGCTTCTTTTCAGATTAAAATCACTCCACTCCAAACCACACCTTGGGCTCATGGTTGCTCAAAACTTAGACCAGGATTGCTAAATGGTTTGCAAGCTTGACTCAAACTAAAAGGTGTATTGAGGGTAGTTTTAATTCAGTTTAATTGATGACCAGTTAGCTACATAATTGCAAATGCTAGTCTAGACATTCCTCAAACATAGAGGGTGAGTCCTAGGGTAAACCACCAACTTTAGAACAAGTGTCTATGGACTGTCTACACTAATGTTCACAGCCATGTTAGTTAATTGTCAATCATTTAACTCACGTTAAAACAGGACCACAAACTCTGCTCTAGACAAATCTTCACCGAACATGGCCCAAGTTTCCGATATGCAATGAAACTGCAAACAAGGTCAGTTTTGCTTGGCTCCAAGTTTTTTTATGAAAGCTTTTCACAACTCTAAATTCCTCCCTTTTTGGCTGCCGTTTGGGGCGGAAGGTCAGAATACTCTGTGAATTACTGAATCAGGGCTTCGCACAGAGGATGGCCTCAGTGAGGATTGCTTGTGTTTAAAGCTGGCCCCATCTAACTAAAGGAACAATTGTGGTCCATTCATTAAGCAAACTAGAAGTGAAAATGAAGTTCTCTCCTATTTGTTTCCCCCGCGACTCTAAATAGTCTCCTTTTTCATACAGATTCCGCTGCTGTTCTTTTTTTGGGCAAGCCTTAAACAGAAAAAGAGAGGAAAATAGTACAGGAAAAATAGCAATAAACTAAGCAAATGAGGAGAAGAAATAATGAGGGCCATCAGTGGTAAATCAAGGGAATTTACTGGCTTTGGCTTTGTGGAGATCGTTACGAAGGCTTTTATTTATTTATTTTACCTGGGACCGCCCTCTCACAGATGTCTCGGGGGGGAAAAAACAGAAAAATACAAATATGAAAACAAACCGGCAGCTCTAGTTTAATATGATAAATTATCGTCATTAAATAGAGGAAAACATGTTCTTGGTGAAATAAATAAATAAAACGGTGGCATATTTATGCTAATAATTCAACATTCATTAGTTAGACATTATTATGTATTTTAATGACCTAACAAAGGTGGCAGATGGGATCTAACCAAGAGCCAGGCTATTAGTCACTTTTAGCCTTTTAAATGGTGAAATCTGTAATGTAAGTGACACACAGCCTGCCCTGCTCCCCTCCACCCTCAGTCTTCTTACTTTCCTTCTACCCCAAATGGGCTTCAAGTAGCCAATAGACAGACTGCTGGTTTATTTATGTGTCTAGCTGACGAGCATCTATGTAAGCCTTCCTTCTTCCTCATTAGTACTGACCCTGACTCAGAAACCTTTCACGCCAGTAAACAGGCAAGACCTATTGAACTAGGCAAGGCGGACTTTACTTTTTATTCTGCAATAGCAGATGAATACCAACATGAAGGGGAGGGTGAGGGGATGATTTTATTTGCACTGTGGAAAAATATTAAAAAAATAACAGCCCAGCTTTCATATTTATTCAGACACTTAACACCTACATGGATTGCTTTCATGTTTGGGTGTTAACTCTGTGGTTGTCTAATTATTAAGGATGAATGGGTCTACTTTTCCGTTGCCTTCTACTTTGTTTAGTCATTTAGGCCTTGTTTCGGGAAGGTCCTTAAGCAGGTAAGAGCCTGTGCTTAGTCGAATTGACTTCAAAGAGAGTGACTCATGCTTAAATTTATACACCTACTTAAGTACCTTTCTGAATGAGAGACTTATTCCTGTGTAAGGTGAGTGTAACATGCTGTCATTCTGTCTTACACAGCTTGTATCACTTGCCTGAAGATAGATGAAACTGGTTGCCAATTCAAGTACCAGGTCATCATATAGGACAGTTGCTGACCTTAGGACCTGTCAGAGTATACCCCCCAAAATCTGAACTCTGGGGTACAGATGTGGAGACCCGCATGAAAGACCCCCTAAGCTTATCTTCTACCATCTTAGGTGAAAATTCTTCCAAGGCACAGTCTTCTGCCTTGGACAGATATTGCTGCCACCACCAAGTGATTTTCACAAATATTCAGGGATGGGTCATTTGGAATCCCTATCACCCCCAAATATACTCCCAAGCCACTTCACCCTCTTTTCTGGGGAGGCTTGAGAATAAAATACTAACCAGTTGCCTTAGCAACCCCTTGTCTAAGGACTTTGGAATCAAAGGATTCTTTAAAAAAAGGTAAATTTTATTAAAAAAGAAAGAAACCCATCTAAAAACTCAGGCTTTAGGGATTGAACATCAAAAATAACTTTCTTGGGGTTTAGCTTAAAGCAAAACAAAAGCACCTGGGGTTAGCACAGAGGAATCCACAAACCAAAACAACCAAAAAGGTTCCTAATCGCATCTGTCTTAACTTTTCCTATGCTATTTACATATCTGGGGTTCCAAATGAGGAGTTTCTAGGTATGATGCTAATGATTTCCCATACCAGGCTTAAAGCTTACAGCTTGTTGCTGCCTTCCCCTCTCTCCAGCCCAAGAGACAAAGAAAAAAAACCCCACACCCAGCAGTTTTTCCAATTTGAAAGGGTACACTCTCCCTATTGGTTCCCTGGTCAGGTGCCAACTCAGGTAAAGCTTCACTTAACCCTTTACAGGTAAGGCAATTAGGATACAGCTGCTAAGGAGGATTCTATAGCTGAGTGGCTGGGTGTCCATAAAAGGAAGCTACCCCTCCCCCCCATTTATCACGGGACCAGATTCTGCCATCTTTAATTTCATTAATTAACATTAGTAGGACTGTTGTAAGCAAGACTCGAGAAGTAATTCTTCCACTCTACTCAGCACTGAAGGCCTCAACTGGAATACTGTATCCAGATCTGGGCACCATACTTGGGGAAAAATGTGGACAAATTGGAAAAAGTCCCAAGGAGAGCAACAAAATTGATTAAAGGTCTAGAAAAATATGACCTGTGAGGAAATATTGAAAAAACTGGATTTGTTTAGTCTGGAGAAGAGAAGACTGAGGGGGGACATAAATCTTCAAATACCTAAAACATTGTTATAAAGAGGAGGGTGATAAATTGTTCTCCTTAACCAAGGAGGACAAGACAAGATATAATGGGGTTAAATTGCAGCAATTGAGATTTAGGTGAGACATTAGGAATAACTTCCTAACTGTAAGGGTAGTGAAGCACTGTAACAAGTTACCTAGGGAGCTTGTGGAATCTCTGTCATTGGAGGTTGTTAAGAACAGGTTAGACAAACACCTATTACAGATGATCTAGATAATACTTAGTCCTACCTTAGTGCAGGGGACTGGACTAGATGACCTATCAAGGTGCCTTCCAGTCCTACATTTCTGAGATTCTATGATTAAGTAGTACCTTACTTCATGAGTAGCCCTGACCTTATTGGGACTCCTTGCCAAGAAAGGTTAATACTCCACATGAATAAAGGATGACAGCATCTGGTCTTACCAAAATTGAGACAGGTTAGTTACTAGGAAGTTCATGAATTTCAGGCTGTGCATCAGATCAGAACACTTATCCTTCACCCATACTTTTCTTTCTCCTGAAGCCTAATCTACACACAAGAAATTAGGGTGACCAGATGTCCCGATTTTATAGGGACAGTCCCGATTTTTGGGTCTTTTTCTTATATAGGCGTCTATTACCCCCCACCCCCTGTCCCTATTTTTCACATTTGCTGGCTGGTCACCCTACAAGAAATGTTCATTGATATGGATAAATTGATTTAGAGAGACAAGATCAGTGAGGTAATATTTTTTTATTGGACCAATATCTGGTGGTGAGAGAGACAAGCTTTTGAGCTACACAGCGCTCTTCTTCAGATCTGGGAAAGGTACTTCAAGTGTCACAGCTAAATACAAGATTAAATGGATTGTTTAGCATAAGTAGTTAGTATATATTCCAATG